GATGTTTCACTTCTCATCCAAGAAGCTTCTTCAGTTCTGACTGAAAAAAACACCTTTGGGACAACCATGACCTGGATGACTGAGAATTTCCATAGACATTGATCAGAATTCTTCCTCAAGAAGGTACAATTCCTTTGCCTGCCCATCTCATACATAACCAGCGGAAGGGTGACCCATGCTTATATTAGTAGATGGAATAAAGGCCCTACAGGAGGGCATTGGGCTTCTAAGGTTAGCTAGTTTTTCTGTGCCATTGTAACTTTGAACGGTCATTAAATGAACTATTGTTTAAGTTGGGGATTACCTGTATTTGGTATCATCTTTTTAGAATCCTTGATGCATGTCTCCCTGTATCCAGATAGTAGTATTTTTTTCCCCATACCTGTCAAGGAGTCAAAACAAGCCAGTGTGGTGAAGTGGTTAAGGCATCAGGTTAAAAACTGGGAGGTCCTGAGTTTTAATCCTCCTTTGGCACAAAGTCAACTGGTGACTGAGCCACTTGCTCTGACTCAGCCCTAGGAAGGAGGCAATGCAAATCTTTGCTAAGAAAATTGCTGGGGCTTATTCAGAAATTAAAAGCTTACTTGAAGACACCAAAAAAAAAAAAGCAAAAAAAAAAAAAGCAACGTTTCTCCATTTTCACCAAAGTGTCCTAATTAGGGCACCATCAGTGTCAGGCTTTTTCACACTTCTTCAGTGTGTTAAGTTTATTTGTCAAACTATACTGTATCCTGAAAGAATGTTATCAACTTTTCAAGGCTGGGTTTAATACAAATAGTAACAAAAGGAGGGCAAAGGAGAACAAATTCACTGCTGTTCCAGCTAATCAATTCTGAGATTATACTTTGAAAATCAGCCAAAAGCACCTGAAAGGAAGAATGGAAACATTCATGTAAGTCTACACTACTTTCTGGGCTCCTCTACTGAAAGCTGTCAAGATCCTTTTCTTGCAAATGAAAAACAGATTCTTGCTCAGGGCCCTTATTCATCATCTTACAGCCTTACAGTTTGCAGCCTTCAAAATGCACAAAGAAAGTGAATGATTTACTCCCAAATGGATTGCCCCTGCCTGCATGTTGAAGATCCTGATTTCTTTCTGTGCTTCTGACTCTTTTCTCTGCTTTTTGTTCATGAGCCACAAGCAGAGAGAGAATTCAGCAGTAACATCTGAAATGAGCCCTTTTTTTCTTTTAAGTTGGGGTGGAAATCTTTCTCTTCTCCACCTCTGCTGCATCTGAGACACGTGAATGAAAAGAAATAGCCACTACCTTCCCATCTAGCTTAGCTTTCAGTTTCAGGATGCCAGGCATTGTTAGAGGCAAATTCAATTATTGATCCAAATATGTATAAAAGGGAAGTCTTAAGTACAAGAGGAAGCACAGAGGGTTAATTAGGTATGAGTTTCCACTCCATAGACATTCAAGCCAGTCTGGATGTGGGAGATGAAACACATTGGCAGAGCTTATATTCAAATAGCTGAACTTAATTGCCGAAGATAGCTTGCCTAAATTAATTCTCAGCTGAAATAAAGCTGAGAATTATTACAGGATTCAATCCCTTGATAACTGAGAGAATTATTATTTACGTGGTTCATCAATAACTGATGTCTGCTAAGGTTTTTTTCATCCTGTTCTTTACATTTCTTACAGGGAATATCTTCTTGGCCTTATTCTATGAATTAATATAAACAACTATCTGCCTCGGATAAATTAAACAGTGATTATTTCTGTTGAATTAAGGTAAACTGATAGGATAATCTTTACCAGCTTATATCGAGATAATGAAGATACTTCTATAGGTACTGGATTGTTATAGCTACTGTTACAAATACAGCAAGTGGAACAAAAAATGAAAAGCCTTGGAATGAACAGCATGTTAAATGAACTTGCATGAATTTGGATAATTGACAAGGGTACAGCTATCATTAACAGATATAAACAATAATTTGCAAGTAAGTAACTTACTATTTGCTTTGCAAATATATTATATTCATCTTATTGATAGGGTTAAGAGATTACTTTTAAACAATAATTTGGTTTTGAGGCAATCTCCAGCTATTCTCAAGCTATATTTTTAAACTCACAAAAAATTTGACTAGGAGTTACATTCTTCTAACACACATGGACGGAGTTGGGTTTCACTTTTTCAAACTCAAATAAATTGTTCCAGAGTCATTCTACAGTATAATTGGGCCAGAAGTAGAACAAAAATACATTGAATTAAACAATGATCCATGTCATGGCTTAAAGAAATGGACAGTATATTTGGAAATGGACAGGCTTTCAAGATTCTGTTATTATAATCTACAACAATTTCCTAATACAGTTTATTAATCCAAGCTCAGCAAAAATTGTTCTTTGGACTATTTTTCTCCAGTCCAGAACATTCTCCCAGCATCTCCTGAAAACCCCAAGGATCCATAAGGCACCTGGGCCAGGCTGCCCTAATAGGTCTTTCCTCCCTGTGAGGAAAATGATCACAGGGATAAATTATTAAAAGTAAGGTTGCTTTTGTTGGGGGAGGGGGGGTTGAGCGCACAGACATATCCAGAATTTGGAGATCGTACTGTGCTGCAGTCCAGGTCACAACTAATGGAAACAACTAATTTGTTCATAAAATGTCTTATGCTAGTATGACCAGTTCCAAAGCATTAAGGTTATCATATATACTCTGCAAACATCTAGATGACTTCTGGACGAAAAACAAAAACACAGAGGAGAAACATAGTCTTAATTACCATCTAGTGGTCATCTGGATTTTTGCAAGCCTTGCCTGTAAAGCCTGAAAAACAGCAACTTAGCCAAAAGCAACCAGGTGAGATGACTCTTCTTTCTCTTCAGGGTTTTTTTTTCCATTACAGTTTTCCATCATGTACGGAAACACAAAATATACTAGGCACATCCATCAATCTCTTTTACTTTCTAAATATACTTAAGGTGACCTAAAAATATAGAAACAGTGGTCCAGTGGTTAAAGCATCAGGCTAGAAACCGGAAACTGAGTTCTAATCCTGCCTTCGGCATGAAAGCCGGCTGAGTGACTTTGAGCAACTCATTCTCTCCTAGCCCAACCCACCTCACAGGATTGTTGCTGTGGGGAAAACAGGAGGAGGAAGGAGTATTACATATGTTTGCTGCCTTGAGTTATTTATAAAAATAATAAAGGTGGGATAAAAAATATAAAATAAATAATGCTGAAAGTCTTTAAAAATATTTTTATTGAATATGTTTTCAACAGAATTAAAAAAAGTACACATTTTGAATTAAGGAAGAATAAAGAAAAGTAATAAAAAAGCTAAAAAGAAATATAGAAAAAGATTCTAAAGAAGCAGATTTTTATCTTCATGACAGCACTGATAGATATAAGTGTTTTATCCCCTCTCTTTAAGGTTACATCATGATTTTCTTTTCATAAGCTAACCAATCTAACCTCAAAATCCATAAATCACAAATTCATTCTCCTCTTTTTTTCAGCAAAAAGTCCATAAGGGGCTTCCAGCCACTAATAATTCTCATGCCAATTAAAAGACAGATTAGGCTTACCCTGAGGATCACAATCAAGAAAGGCAAGATATTGTAACACAAGTAAAGAGGAGTAAATGGTAAAGAAGAGACATCACTTCTTTTATGCTTGGAAATAATATGCTGGAAGTTTAGTTTAGTCCAGGTTGTTCTCCTCTTGCAGTTCTTCTCGTTTTAATAGCAGTTCTTGCTCCTTTCTTTGAGGGATGAGGCCAGAGGCATCTGCTTTCCAATTCTAGGGCAATTATCAATAGAATTTGACGGTTCAATCTGGCTGGACTTTGCAATTAATAATAACAGAATAACAAAATTGGAAGGGACCTTGGAGGTCTTCTAATGAATCTAACGCCCTGGTCAAACAGGAGACCTATACCATTTCAGACAAATGACTGTCCAGTCTCTTCTTGAAAGCCTCCAGTGATGGGAGCACCCACAACTTCTGAAGGCAAGATGTTCCACTGGTTAATTGTTCTCAGTGTTAGGAAATTTCTCCTTAGTTTGATTCTCTCCTTGATTAGTTTCCATCCATTGTTTCTTGTCTTGCCTTCTGCTGCTTTGGAAAATAAGTTGTCCCCTTCCTCTTTGGCAGCCCCTCAAATATTGGAACACATGTCATCCCTAGTCCTTCTTTTCACTAGACTTACTTAGACAAACTCCGAGCCTAAGTTTAAAAGATGCCCTAGCTGTGGATTAACAGAACAGAATAACACAGTTGGAAGGGACCTTGGAGGTCTTCTAGTCCAACCCCCTGCTCCCACAGGAAACACTATAGCTATACCATTTCAGACAAATGGCTGTCCAATCTCTTCTTAAAAACCTCCAGTGATGGAGCACCCACGATTTCTGGAGGCAAGCCGTTCCACTGATTAATTGTTCTGTCAGAAAAGTTCTCCTTAGTTCTTGGTTGGATCTCTCCTTGATTAGTTCCCAGCCATTTGTTTCTTGTCCTGCCTTTAGATCAGTGTTTCTCAACCTTGACCATTTTAAGGCATGTGGACTTCAACTCCCAGAATTCCACAGCCAGCATTGCTGGCTGTGGAATTCTGGGAGTTGAAGTCCACGTGCCTTAAAACGGTCAAGGTTGAGAAACACTGCAGATGCTTTGGAGAATAGGTTGAGCCCCTCTTCTTTGCGGCAGCTTCTCAAATATTGGGACACTGCTATCATGTCACCCCTAGTCCTTTTCACTAGACTTAAGACATACCCAGCTCCTCCACATCTGTGTGATGACACTTCCTTTATGCGCCGCAACTATTCTGTACTTAACGTTTGGCTGGACGGACGGACGGACGGGAATTCCATCTGAAACAGAATTAAAAAACGTAGTTATCCCGCTGATAGCGTCCGGTCGGCATCCTTCTCCGAGACGACGAATTGCTTTCAACCGCGCCGAACGCTCGGCCATTCTGAGCCGCGGGCTCGGAAGCCTGATTCATGCGGCACTAGGACCCAGCAGGCAAGGCGGGCGACAGCGGAAGTTCGAAGCAGTGGATTCGACTGCCACCTAAAACCATGGAGGCCGAAGAAGAATCTCCGGCCGGACGTCGCTTACTCAGGTGTCTGCAAGGGAGGGAAGAACGGCGTGGGGTATGCGGGAGTTTAAAGGAGCCGCCTCCCTCCCCGGGGGGGGGGATGGGTGGCTGGAGAGAAGGCCGGAAGTGTTGGAAGGCCGGGCGTTCACTTCTCCCTCCGGCGCCTTTGCCATGTAAGGCTCCGGGTCGGCAGCGCCCCCAGGCCGTTCTGACGCCCACAAGTCGGGAATTTGGCTCCGGGAAGCCTGCTTGCACACGCGATGCAGGACCAGTGGTTTCAGCCAGGCAGGGAGGAAACAGAGGCTGCGTTCTCACGACACAACGCGGACCTACAAACTCGCCAACTGCTTTTTTAGTGGGTCGCGCGCACCCAGTTCGGTTTGCTCAGCTGGTTCCGCCCCAGAAACAAATTGTGTAGCTCTCGTTCCTTAGTAGAAATCACTTTTTTCGAGTAATTACAATTGTCTGGCCTTCACGGGCGTGCTTCTCTTGTAGGGATTGATGAGGAAGAGGATAATATATTTGCAGGCAGAGAGAGATCGAGGTAGGCAGATTAAACAGGTAATTTCAGGAGCCAAAGAGCAAAGCACAACGTCGGTGTGTACGCGCGTGTTAAGAGTATACATGCTAAAAATGGAAAGAAATGAGAGCGTCACAACAAACCTGAATTTATTTCATGATCACTTGTGTCTCTCTGGCTTGTAGTGAAATGAATTAAACTAAAATTATTTTAAAAAGTAAATGACTATTAAGAAAGTTAAATACAGGTAGTCCTTGACTTACAACAGATCGTTTAGTGACCATTCAAAGTTAGAATGGCACTGAAAAGTGGCTTATGGCCATTTTTCACACAACCATTGTAACATCCCCATGGTCACATGATTTACATTCGGTTCCTTAACAACTAACTCACATTTATGATGGTTGCAGGATCCTGGAATCATGCGATCCCCTTTGGCGACTTTCTGACAAGCTAAGTCAATGGGGAAGCCAGATTCACTTCACAACCATGTTACTAATTTAACAACCGCAGTGATTCACTTAACATATTTGGCAAATAAAGTCGTAACATGGGGCAAAACTCACTCAACAAATTTCTCACTTAACAACAAATTTTGGGCTCAATTGTGGCTGTAAGTTGAGGACTACCTGTAAAAAAAGAGTTTGAGGAATTCCAAAGGGATTTCACAAAAATGAGTAAAAGAGCCATGTAGGGTGGGCATTTTGGCAAAAAGGGTACACATGCAGACTGGTGTAGGAGCCGATGGTGATTCTCCTTAAAAAGATGCAAGTTTTAAGCTTTTAATTTAGAGAAAAGATTAGAAGTGTATATGCCAGCATTTTTCCACCTTCGCAACTTTAAGTATGGCAACTGGGGAATTCTGGGAGTTGAAGTCCGCATGTTTCAAAGTTGCCAAGATAGAGAAACACTGGTTGTACACTTAACAATGTAAAAATAAATCATCTTCATACTGAAACCTGGGGTTAATTTGGGGAAGTTGAACGGTAGGATATTTAGGAAGAATAAAAGGAAGTGGGTCATAGCAGTTGCTGGAATTGGCTATTGATAGGAAATAGTGCTGGCTAAATAGACTCGTGGTCTGATCTGCCACCGTATTTGGAGGAATCCATCATGGAGAAATTGAATATTTAAGTGATTATTCTTATCTTCTCTCTCCCCCAATTCCTCCCCCCATGAAGCCCAGCAGAACTGCTGGCAGCTCGAACACGTGATCACAAGATCCCCCAGCGCTCACTTGGTCAGAAAGATTTCATTCCCGATGGAGCAGAAGAACAAGAATCAAAGCTGCGCCAATGTCAGAAAGAACACTGGCAACTTTTGGAGGAGGAACGTGTTGTGCGGTTGTACGTATGAATTATGCCTACAATTAAAGTACTCAACTAACAATTTAAAATGTTTTGTGTAGTATGTTTTTAGCTTTACCAGTTTTACACAAAGAACTGTTAACAGAAAAGGGAACAACATTTCTTGATCCAGCAAACTGGAGTGTTTCAGACAGTTCTCAAATACACAGTTCTTAGCTAAATAACTGAAAAGGTGGTTGTTTCACAATTTCAGGTACATCTAGAGCAGAGGTCCCCAATCTTTTGGGCACCAGGGACCGGTTCTGTGGAGAGAGGTTTTTCTGTGGCCTGGAGGGGGTGTGGTTTCATGTACTACCTGCATCCCATGGATGGGGCTTTGCTTGTTTGTGTGGCCCGGTTTCTGGCATGGTGCTGGTCCACGGCCCGGGGGTTGGGGACCCTTGATCTAGAGTCTGGATATATTTCAGCCAGGTTTTTAAATTGAAAATGGCACTGATTGCTTTTGTTGTTTTGTTGATCTACATAAAAACAGGGAAGAGGAAGTTTTTCCTTTAAAAATCCCAAGTGCCTAGGGTTTGTCTGAGAGGCCACTTTTCTTGTTATGAATCTAGTTACAGATATTTGCAAAAAGCCTCTTGTGAAAATGTCATTGCTTGGGAAACCTGCCGATCAGATATATGGGAAGATGCTTCTCTGTTTCACGATATCTACCTCAAAGTAAACCAATGTCATATAAGGGGCCATGGACCCCTTTTGTAAGGTTTTCCGACAGTCTATTTCATAATGAAATTGGGGTGAGGGTTTTTTGTTTTCCAAGGAATGGACACATCACTGCATAGCAAACCTACACACGATGCTTTATTTCAACACAGACCTTCCCAAACAACAAGCTACTCTTCTGGGTCAGCTCTACCCATCTAGGACTTGCAGGTTGCTGTGGCTACATGTTTTTAATACTCTATACTGAGTCTTTTAACACTCAGGTTTTTTTTAAAAAAAGTTTCCAAGTCTATAAAGTAGCATACAACCTTTGTCTTTTTCCAAAAGTTCTTGCACTGGTTGGGATGGGGTGCTGTTTCAGTGTGGTTACTCCTTTTCTAGTTGCTGCCAAGCTCCAGGCAAAGCTGTAAGCAGGACTCCCACCAGGATATACAGTAGCTTGTGGTTGTTGGCAGTTGAATGAAAATCCTCTTGCCAGCTCCTAATAGCAGCCAATCTCATGCCATCATTTCCCCTCTATAGCCATTTGCTATCACCTTTCCTCTTATACCCCTCTCCACTCTGTCTTAGCATTTGCTTTTGTAAGCCAAGGCCCTGAGGTGGAGTGATGCTGCCTCTGGACGTCAGCACATCCTTGAAAACACCAGGGAGAGGCTCAATTATCACAGGCAGCTGCAACACTGGCTTAGATGCTTGTGAGTAAAGTGAAAGTATGACGGTATGAGGGATGTGGGGGTGGGAAGCATTTCTGCCTGGCTGCAGCTGCTTTTCCAAAGCACAGAAAGCAACCCCCAACTTCACTCTCATAATAAGTTAACTTATTTAAAATCCTAGAGGCAAGAGTAAGTGCTCTATGCCGTAAATTATTTCCTCCTAGATCTGTGTCTTCTCTATTAGCTGTTCTGTGCTGGTAGGAAATGGATTTTTTGGGGAAAGGTTCAAGAGTAGAGTAGAGTAGAGTAGAGTAGAGTAGAGTAGAGTAGAGTAGAGTAGAGTAGAGTAGAGTAGAACAGAACAGAACAGAACAGAACAGAACAGAACCTTGGAGGTCTTCTAGTCCAGCCCCCTGCTCAAGCAGGAGAACCTATACCATCACAGACAGGTGAATATCTAATCTCTTCTTAAAAATCTTCACGATTTCTGGGGGTAAGTTGTTCCACTGGTTGATTGTCCTCACTGTCAGGAAATTTCTCCTTAATTCCAGGTTGCTTCTCTCTTTGATCAGTTTCCAACCATTGTTTCTCATCCTTCCCTCTGGTGCTCTGGTGAATAACGTGACCCCCTCTGCCTTGTGGCAGCCCCTCAGATACTGGAACACTGCTATCATGTCTCCCCTATTTCTTCTTTTCTTTAGACTAGCCAAACCCAAATCCCATAGCCGTTCTTCATATCTTTTAGTCTCCAGGCCTCTGATCATCTTAGTTGCTTTTCTGTGATTTTTTTTTCAAACTCCAAACATCATTTTTGTGATATGGTGACCAAAATTGGCTGCAGTATTCCAGGTGTGGTCTTACTAGGGTTTTATAAAGCGGTAATAATACTTCACGTGATCTTGACTCTATATAATATATATATATATATATTCTATATATAATCTGCTTTGTGTTTATGCATACTAATTCTGGAGCTGCTCTGGACCTATTTTAAGAAGATGTACGGTAAATCTTGTGCTTAAACAAATAGAGACTCTTCTTTTTAAATTTCCTTTATAGGGGAAGTTTGGTGAAGGCTGAGTGGAACCCCCAGGAAGGTATTGTGGAACTGAAATCCCCTGCAGTAAGTTTTACTATCTTTTACGTGATGTCATTCCTTCTCTCTTAAATAACTTACTGTTACCAGCTTCTGTGTCAGAGCAGCACATACCAGTAGCCAGGGACTTTTTTTTTTCAGATCAGAGCCAGATATAGTAGGGTTGATTTCAGTTTTCATAGGATGACATTGCCACTGAATAATGCGTGTCCTCTCTCATCAAATTGCTCAAAATAAAAACTGTATCTGCAAAATTTGTCTTGCGCTGTTTTGTATTGGAACCAGCTATGATTCTTGGAAGGTGATATGTGGGTGAAGATATGGGATGAGCAAATGAAATCTGTTAAGTCTTACTGTTGATTTCTTTCCTGTCCCCCATAGTGGTCTAAAAGACAGCTGTTTTGAAAGACAAGGATATTGAATACTTCTTATTGTCTCACCTCTAATAATTCAAGCTCTGACTTGAGAGAACTGGACATTAGGCTAACCCCCTATGGACGCACACAATCGGGTGCATTGAGATCCCAAAGATTCTGGGATTTTATGTTTCCTAATTGTAATTTAATCCTTTGGCACAAGGATGAAATTCTTTTCTTCAATACAGTCTTAATTCAGATGGAGACGCTCTGACTGAATCATGAAGTGAAAGGCTCCTAGAACACTCCCAACAATCCTGGGCTTATGTTGTTCTTTTTGAAATGTTAATAGGGGTTGGGATTGATCTCCTAAATTAACATTGTTTGTTGTTGCCATCAGGGGAAATTCTGGCATACCATGGGTTTCACACAGCATGGAAAGCAGTGCCTGCTTCCAGAAGAAGCCTTGTATCTCCTGGAATGTGTGAGTAAATCACATCCACAAGCTTATGAAGCAGTTTTGTGTAGCTAAGCCTCTCCCCTGTTCCGTTGTCTTGACAGACAGTACTAAATTTTGCCATAGAATAATCACATAAATTAAGAAAGTTAACAGGATTAGGTGGCAAGCCATATAATACTTTTTCAGGAGTTAAGGAAGAAATATGCTTAGGGGAGTTAGCTCTCTGTCTTAACCTCATACTAATGGGAACATCTGAAAAGAGAGTGTAACCACATTATTAAAAGTGATTGCAATCCCCATAGGATTGAGGATCCTGTCGGGATTACACAGAAGATCTTCTGAATAAATGCCACATCTTCATTTCAGACCCTTCCTATGAACATGTATTTTGGGATGAGCAGACTTGCAGGAAATGTTCCCATCTCCCACTCCCTGATATTGCACTATTAGTTGATTCTGCAGAAAGCAGAAAGCATTTGAAACATACAGATGTACATGAGTTTATAAATACCAGTGTACAGTTCTTGGAATTCAGTATCGTCAAAACTGCTCCAGTATTCTCATTGCAGTTGTTGTTTTATTCTGTGGGTCTGTCTGATCATTCTGTGTGATCATTCTGTAAGCCATATTGTACTGTCAAACCAATTCTTGTATCTTGAGATTACAAGTTAGCAACCCACTCATTCAGCAGTTGTTCAAAGTACTGAACAAGTGGTACTTAAAACCAATCCTCAAAGTTGTGGCTGTATTAGCACCGCCGTGGTCACATGATCATGACTGAGGCACTTGATAACTGACTCACATTTATTATGGTTGCAACATCCAATGGTCATGTAATCACTATTTACAACCCGGCCTGCTGGCTTCCCACAACCAAAATCAATTTGGAAGCCAGGGTAGGGTCGCAAGTTGTTCTTGTCCCCATCGCTTTTTCTCCTGAGAAGACATGCTTCCACCCCATCCCCTCAGCCATGCTTGCACTGCAACCGCCCCCACCCCCCCGACTGGGCCTTATTTGTGTCAGGCTACAGCAGTGGTTCTCAACCTTTTTAATGCCGCGACCCCAACCGGTCGTAAGTCGAGGACTAAACCTGTCGTAAGTCGAGGACTAAACCGGTCGTAAGTCGAGGACTAAACCGGTCGTAAGTCAAGGACTACCCAACCGGTCGTAAGTCGAGGACTTTCCCTGCCCGGGAGCGCCGCACATGCGTGGTTCCGCCCCCTGCGCCGGCCGAGGCGTAGCTGGCAAGCGGCAGAGACGGAGCAGGCCAACCACCAGCTGGCCCAGCCCAAGAGAGGTAAGGCATCCGCCGGAAAAGGGGAAAAAAATGGCGGACAAAAAAAATGGCGGACAAAAAAATGGCGGACAGCCTTGCTTGGCGACCCCCGTGAAATGGTCGATCGACCCCAAATGGGGTCCCGACCCACAGGTTGAGAACCACTGGGCTACAGACTCACACATCTGCTTGCTACATGGCTTGCAAGCCACCTAAGGAAAGGCTTGTCATGACCAAGAATTGCAACTTCCTACTTGGTTCCTCATTGACTTTGTTTGATGGAAGCTGGCAGAAAGTCACAAGTTGTGATCACGTAAGGTCCTTCCTTAATCCACAATCCTCATTTAACAACAGAAATGGGGACTGCTGGGATTACCATCGCTAAGCGATGCTGTCACAATACATCATACTTTATAATTGTATCACTTAGTGACAGAAATTCTGGCCCCAATGACCATTGTAACACAAGTATCTCTACAGACATCCAATTGACACAAAATTCCCCCTTTGGCAAAATGGGCAAGTTGGTGCAGCTCTTCAGACCCCAGGGAGCCTGTCACCACAATGGTCGGTTTGCATAATTCCTGAACATTAAGATTTTTTCTTTTCTTACAGGGATCCCTTCAGTTGTTCTACAAAGACCTGCCTTTGTCAATCCAGGAAGCATATGAGAATCTGCTGTCTCCAAAGTCGATCAGCCTACTAAAATACCAGGTGCATTTCAAAATTTGGAATTCAGCATCTACAGAAGTAAAATTTGGCAATTTAAAAGAAGCATTGAATTTCAAAGCAGGCAATACTGCTGTAATTATATGATCACAATTAATTGTACAGTTCAGTTGACATGAAAGGGCATGTGAGGATATTCCACTGAAGTTTGAGGTTAACTGCTTATACAATGCTTTAGTAGTGAGCCTAAACTTCAGTAGCTGAGTTAGAGAAGATAAATGCTGCTGCTTCAGCTTTATTTTCACAAGGATAATACCACACTGCAGTAGGATATTTTGATGGTATTCCCTAAAAAGTGGAGTAGACCGAAAAGAGGAATCAGTGTACTCGTTAAAAAAAACCTGTTTCTAGTCCTACCTCGGAAACATCAATAATGGGCACTTGCTTAAATACTTCAAGTTGCAATACAGTCTAGATATTGCTGTATGGCCTGAGCAAATACAGTATTAGGCCCAAGGTGCAGAATTCAGACAACTCTCCTTAGCTTTGTCAGCTTGCCAATGGGCTTGATGGTTAAATGAAAAACAGTCCGTTTAACTTATTAATAATTTAAAACATAACTTGTTAATAATTTTTCATGCCTCCATCTATGCAAATGCTAAATTACGCTGTTGTAATATCTCATTATCATATAATCTCTTATTTTTAAGGGGTGGCTTGTTTTTTTTTTAAAAATAGCATATATCAGTGAAACATTTCTATGATGCTCTTAAGCTTATTCAGCGGAGACTTCTTCTATGTTGATTAGAATTCTTAGAGACCTAGGTTGTCAAAATGTCCTTAGTTAAAATTATTGTGATCTTCTCTAGATGAAAAAAAAACACACAATGTTTGTTGTGCTCTATTGAAAAGAGCGATCACTGTTAGATTTTAGAAATGATGCAGCGTGTTGACCACCCTAGTATCATATTGTTGCTTTGAGGCCCCGTCGCTTTTGCATTGTAATCCTATATGTTTACTTGGAAAGTTAAAAAGTAAAGTTTCCCTGGAATGGGGCTCAACTCCTAGTAACTACATGGATACATTCATGTTTACTTGGCAGCCTTATGGAAATAGTTTGCCACAGCTGCCTTCTGGTGTGGAAATTGCAGCCTTAATTTTTGGGTGATTTGTGAAGGCTGCAAGTTAAATTGTTAAATTGATTTTGTATAGTTGACTTTAATGTATTCAAAGTTTTGTTTGCATGACGAATGGCTACTTAAATGCCTTTTTGCTATAGGTCAGTGATGGCGAACCTATGGCACGCGTGCCAGAGGCGGCACTCGGAGCCCTCTCTGTGGGCACACGTGCCGTTGCCCCAGCCTCGCCTCCCCCCATGACCCCCTCCTCTCCAGCAGCCCCCCTGGAGGAGAGTCGCCCCCAAGCGTGGCCCACACGGAGCAGCACAGCACAGGACATGGCAGCCAGATAGCATAGACAAGACTCTGCCCTCACGCCCCATCGCGCACAGTTGATGCTGCGGGGTGCGGGCAGAGGGTGTGGCTGCCATGGCGCTGCTGGGCTGCCTGGGCAATCTGCAGCAGGCCCTGGAGGCAGTGAGTGGCCCTGTGGGCAAGTGGGGTGGGGGACGGGGTGGGGGCGGAGCAGGGGCAGGGCAGGGGATGGAGTGGGGGTGGGGCCAGTTTTTGGGCACTCGGTCTCTAAAAGGTTCGCCACCACTGCTATAGGTATACCTTGTTAAAAACTGGAGATCCTCCTGAATGTATACATGGTAGTCAATGTATGTGTGAACCACCTGCCAATAGGAGGTGACTTTCATTCACACATAGTTCAGATTTTTTAAAAAAGAGTTTGATAATTGAATCTCTAAAGAATGTAGAGTCCATGTCCTTTCTCATGTGAACTCCTTACATTTCATCCCTATTGTAAGGTATATAGCCACTTGAAGCGACTGGGTTACATCGTTTTGAGATTCCATTCCAGGTAATTGTTTGACAACCGTTTTCTCTCTCTCCTGGCAGTCTGTCCATTATGCATCTCTTTAACTTTTGCATGGTTGCTCCCTCTCCTCCCCTCTCAATATCCCTACTTCTTGAGATGATTGCATTTTGTCTTTCAGCCTTTTGCTTCTCTGCTTTTCTAATGCGACTTGTCTCTGTCCCTGAACCGATTGTTTTGATCTATCACTCTTTTTTGGGTGGGTGGGGAATCTCTCTTTTACAGCACCGTTCCAACACCCTACGAAAGGCAGCTGAATCTGGATAGCCACTACCAAAGCAGGGAGAGAGGAAGCCACAAAAGGAAATGCTCCAGCCCCGGGTAAAAGCATGTGGTTTGCAATAGTGGCGAATGTGGGCAGTGGGAGTGATGGCCTTGACAAGCTAGCCCCAGGTGTGCATGGAATTAAGCACTGAGAAATGCATCTGTTTTTGTTCTTGTCTTCACCTTTGTCGCTTGCTCTAATGAAAAGAAAGTTTTACTTTAAACTAGATAGCCAGTAGCTCTCCAGTTACTGCTGAACATAATTTATAGCAACCCCAGTGAACATGGCCGATAGTGTGATGTATAGGTGCTCCCAACAAAGATAGTCCTCAACTTACAACCCATTGCTTAGAAACCATTTGAGGTTATGATGGACCTCTTGGGGGTACTTTTGTCCTCAATCTGAAGTTCCCAAAATTGTGCCCCTCCTGTGATCACATGACCATGCTTCAGGTTCTTGTATCAGCTGGTCCAGATTCATGATGTTTGCAACATTCTGTGGTCACATGATGGCATTCTACAATGTTTTTGCCAAGAACTGGCATTTATTTTTGTTTTTTTGGCAAAACCATGCCCATAGTGAACCATCGATTCACTTAACAACTCCAGATTCACTTAATGACCACTGGAGAAAAAAAAAGATCACAAAATTTGGTCAGTCACGTAGGTGAGCCTATTTAGGACTATCCCAAGTTAGTCCTAAATAGGCTGATGGGGAGGCTCCATTACAGTCGTACGTCAAGGACTACCTGTAGTGGGAGTACCCGAGGATCATAGATTCCTGATCCCTGATTTTTTAAAAAAGAAAGATCAGCTACAGTTAGTAAGAAGAATGCATTACAAGACACACCAGTGTGACTTGCTCACTTTAAAAAAAAAAAGGGATAAGGAGTAACTGTTGCGGTGACACGCTGGTGGGATCATTGTGTTGCCATTTTAAGCACATATGAGGTCAGCAGTCATTTTGAGGGCAGTCATCTTCAGGACTTTGAAGTAAGATCATCATTATGTGGGGAACACCAAGTTTTGTTTCTCTGGGTTATCTTAATCAAGTGAGGGCCTGGAGATGCTAAATTACTGAATTTGGCAGTGGGATAAATGAGGACAAGTAAGTTAAAGTCTCAAGAAGATGGAAACTTTATTGTAAACAGGTGGTTTCCAGGTTTAAAAATTTGGTGCTTGATGTATTCTGGATGAGATCGCACACCCACTGAAGAAGCAGGCACAGAGCGTTAGATACCCTTTAATCCAAAATTTCAATAAGGTTCAGATCAACACTTAGCAGTTTTTTTCTGGCACATAGCAACACTGTTTCCTGAACAGGGATAGCCTTGCTATGGTGAATTTATGCTCTAGGAATGTTTAATATCATAGGGCTGTCCTCAAAAATAGTTAAGACACTTCAATGGTTCAGAATTCAACTGATATGTAGCTAGTTTACTAAAGTGTTAAGAAATTTAACTATTAATACTTTATTAAACTTGTATGTTGCCTCTCATTGGTTCACAATGATCAAACAAAACCTGTCCCTTTAAACCCCCAGTTTGATCCAGCAACTAAGGAGTTGCTTGAGTATTTTAAATGTCTAGAGGTTTTTGAATGGACTGAATTATTGGTTGAAAAAAAATGATTAAAAGTCAATGCGGTGTAATTACTTGCATCCTTTTGGATGAAAGACAGTTTATGAATAGTATGTTTGAATAATGCTGTGATAGTAAAAGATAATCTGTGCCCATAGTTTTATCATCTTCTGTTTTACAAGATTGCAAGAGAAGAAAGCCAAGCTATCCGCGAAACCCCAAGAACCGTCACCTAAAAAGGCCAAGATCCATCATGCTAGTTCCAGTTCCACTGCATCAGATGGCTCACCGAAACCAACAATAGAGACACCGGATCCAAAACCTGCAAATATTGAACTAGTCCCGTCTTCAAGTGTCCCAAGCGAATGCAGTGAATTGCCCACCTGTGCTCAAGACTACAAAGAGACATGCAGGAAGACCTTTGGGGAAAGCCATAGCGATATCTCTGCATCCAGGTGGAATTTCACCTCCATTGATTTTCCTAACATGGGTGCTGATTGCCCTCAGGTCTTCCTGCCAGATCCTGATAAGAGGCTCCTCCCAGAGAACGTGACAGCACGGGCAGTCGATGCAAGCTGTTGGCGCAGGCGGCTCAACCAGAAACAGGAGAGGTTGACTCGCAAGGAACAGGAGCAGCTGAAGTGGGAGAGCAGATACAAAATCAGTGTCAATGAGGATGCCGAAGTCCGGCATTGCACCACCTGGCAAGAGTACAAGGCACTTCTGAGAGAGAGGAGTGGTCGGGAAGATCTCTGCCTGGAGACAGTCACCCCACTTTTGAAACCAAGCCAAGGACTTTCCACAGGTAGCGTGGCTTCTGAAAAAGAGAGAAAGGTCTGCTTTGTTCTCTGAAGAAGGAGGCACATGCCCTTGTTGAAGGTGATGGGTATTTCCGAATGCCAGAATAGCTGGCTTGGTGGCAGAGGCATGTTTTATGAAGACCCTAATCCAAACTTCTTCTCTCTCCTTCCCTCTAGCTGACATCCTTCAACAGATCAGTGTTTTCCAACCCTCACACTTATTGGAGGAAGCATTTCAGTAAGTATCAAACCAGAAAATGAGCTAAATGCTTTTAATCTCTCCCAGTAATTGCAGGTATGAGCCACAGTCATATTGAGCAGGATGCAGAACCTGTAGCCCTCTATAACACCCTGTTAGCTAGAGCTCTGGCAGTTCAGGCTTAACAACTTCTGGAGGCTCATAGGCTCTTCTCATATAGTATATACCTGGGATGTTGACTTCAAAGCATTACTAATCGTTAGGGCTGTTTACCCTAAGAAAATGTTCTGGAAATAGTGGTTCTGCCCCTATATGAGTGTGACATCTCTCTGCTATTCATTAAAGCAGCATTTTTCAGGGTTGCACAGGATCCCGAAGAATCCAGCTGCTTTAATGAGTAGCAGCAATGTGCTGTGTTCATGTGTGATCCAAAGGACTTCTTCCAAGTCATTTTCCCAGCATGCATAGCACTATACAAATTGTACTGCATGTCAGAAGCGTTACTTGAAAGGCCAGCACTTAACCTTAAGTCCCCTATGCCTCTGGGCAGTGCAAGTGACCCAACAATGCCAACCAATTTTGAAAGTGTTTCATCCAGTGCACCACAATAACAACAACAACAATAACAACAACAACAACAATAATAATAATAATAAAGTTGGAAGGGACCTTGGAGGTCATCTAGTCCAACCCCCTGCTCAGGCAGGAAACCCTATACCATTTCGGACAAATGGCTGTCCAGTCTCTTCTTAAAAACTTCCAGTGTTGGAGCATTCACCACTTCTGGAGGCAGGTTGTTCCACTGGTTAAATGTACCTTGTCTTCTAAAGTGTTAATTGTTAAATTGCAGTACTTTTAACTAAATGCCGATAAAAGTAAATAAGTATCAGATTCAAATATGCATACTTTGCTGTCCAGACTTTGCATTCTCCAGATACGTTGGAGCAGAATTGCCATTGTCCCCAAGCAAATAAGAAGAATATGAAATTGAGGAAGTCTTGCTTTAATTTTTTTCAGCATATAATAGTTTCTAGGAAATCCTCTTGCCCTTAGGCTATAAGTGATAGAGATACAGTACCTGGAATCTTAAAATGTTATCTCACTGAGTTTTGGTCTTTCTCTTAATGCAAATGCTTTCCAGTTTAAGGAAGCAGTTTGGTCTTTACTGTAATTACATGCCTGGGAAGTGAAGTTGAAGATCATGTTACATTAGTCATTCAGTGTACAATTGCTATCTGGTTGGGGGTTTTTTGGGACATTACAACAAGCTCATGGGATCCTCTGTATTGCAAACATTGAGTGTTTGTGGAGAAGGGATATAATTTTTTCCACCATCTGCTCCACTGCTTGCTATATAATTCCACTCTTCAGAAACCATTTTAAAATGTCAGTCAGATATGCCATCCTGCTACTTTCTTTTCTTTGCCAACATGTTCGTGTTCAGTATGGATCATCCAACTGCCTTCAGGGGTCATGTTTTAATGGATGAGGTCTTAAAGCAACATTTTGAGGAATCTGACAGCTGTGGCAATTTGTTTATTATTGTGAATTTATATGCTGCCCCAGTAAGTGACTTTAGACAGCTTGCGTCATAGGGTAAAACATCTGGTAAATAACTGTTCAAAACAAAGCAAATACAACTGAAAGTATACACAGCAAAGGAATGAACCAATTCACCATCAAACTACCCTCAAGGAGCAAGCGTTTTCATCCAACCCAGTCCTAACAAAAGGATTTTTACAGGGTTGACCCCAGTAATGGAAAGCTGAATTATTTGGGGAAGTTCTGGTAAGGATTTCTTATGAAGTATGAAAAGTATGTATGAAAAAACCAGCATACAACCTATGCCAGGGGTGTCAAACTGCCAGCCCGCGGGCTGGACACATCATCCCAAAACCGCACCCACCCCATTGCCAGCAATGGAGAAAAAGCTCCGATACGTCGCACGACATCACGTGACGTCGCAAGTTTGACATGCCTGACCTATGCTATAGTTTTCATGTGCTTTCTGGCTTAAATAGTGAGATGTTGTGCCACCAATTTTCAGCATTAACTGTTTTGAGACTCCCGCGGTTGCTAAAAGTATAGGGAGAATGCTCGTTATAATTCCTGCTCGGAATTGCTATACCTGAACTTTTTTTTTTCTTTCTCCTCCTTTGGTATATCAAAGAACATCTGAGTTTTTAAACTAATGATTAACCTCCACAGATTACAGAATGATTCATCAGAGCTAAAAATAGATTTTGATGTGTATCCTGCTGATGGAGCTTCAACTTTTAAAAAGAATGATCCTGGGAAGCCTTATGTCCGGATGTATGTTCAAAGGTACTACGTGCTTATAATCTAATCTAAATCTGTTATAGATTTTGCTCATGTGTTTACATGGCTTGTCCTGTTTGGATTGATGGGAAGAGAGGTAGCAGTTGTCCTGTGTGTGGCACGCCTATTGAGGTAGTTGTATGGCTGCCCAAACAGATTTAGGATTTCGGATCCCAATCCATCCTGAAACTTATTGGACCTAAGTACTGGCTGTTATTGTAGCTCTTGCTCTCACCATGGGGAACCTGAAACTCTTTTTTAAAAAAATAAATAGATCTCTGTTTCATTGGAACAACAGTGTTCTCCCCAGATACAGTAATACTTTTTATGCTGTGACTCTTTAAAACAGGGGTGTCAAATTCAATTTCATTGAGGGCTGCATCAGCATTGCGGTTGTCCTTGGGTGGGTGTGGCCAGAGTGGGTGCAGCCTACTGGGTGGGCGTGGATGGGGTGGGTGTGGCCTACTGGGTGGGTTGGCCAGTTCTACATCATTCGCGTCAAGGGTGCCTGTGGGGGACTGGGCAGGAGTGGGACATCTGAGGGTCTCTGGCAGAAGGGGGTGGGACCGGGGCAAATGCCAAGATGACCACCACAAAATTATACATTGGCTCCCAGCTGGCCTGGGCCAGGGCCAAGGCAGCAGGGGCTGTTCCCTCACTGTTTCCAGGATGGCTTTGCGGGCCACATGAAACCACTTCGCGGGCCACATCCGGCCCCCGGGCCTTGTGTTTGACATGTCTGCTTTAAAATGTATTATCAAATAGAAAAAAAAGTTGGATTGTTTTTCTTTTCTTTTCTTTTTTCAGTTTTGACGAGCAGGTCCCATCTCTGAAGATTGTCAAGCAATTATCTTATCAAAGTGGAGATGTTCCAGTGGTGTTTGCTCTAGTTGACAATGGAAACCTCTCTTTCTTTTCTTTTAAGGAGTTCAAATTGCCAATTGATATTTATCCCTGATACTGATGGTATCATTTGGAAAAGCTGTTTTATAAATGGGTATGTTGAAACAAAAGATTACTCAGGGTTTGAAATTATTCAGTAGGATATCATCCAGAGTTCTGACTAATAGTACTGTGTTGCGAGAGGACACACATTCTATATAACAAGAGTCTAAAAAGAAAAAAAACAACTGTTCCAACAAAATCTCTTCTGATTAGAAACACAATTATTTTATTCTTTTAATCCACAAATTCTCTGTTTTTAGTTTGCTATTACCTAAGCTAACCTTTCTGCCAATCTTTCTGGAACAATTTACGAATTTGAGCCTAGGCAGAGTCCCAAAATATATTCTGGCATCAGCTGAATCTAAAAGTTGGAAGCTACTTTCATGATTCACCAAATTGCAAAGACGAAAATAAATATTTTTCTTAGTAATCTTCAGTTCCAGACCCAAACATGGAACATATGAGAATAGCTGGATATGTAGGTCATTTGTTACTTTTTCTACAAGAAAATTTGGAGGCTACCGAATGCATAATTTGTACAGAATCAATGGAATTATATCAATACTTAATTTCTATTTGCAGCTCTAAGAGATTTATCTAATTTACTTATTATTTGGTTAGTGGAAGTCCATGGACTGCTTTTGCTTATTAGCATCTCTTCTAGATACAATTTAAGAGGGTTCATATCACTAAGTTTATTTTACATTCTTGGCTGCTATATTTTTTTTCGGCAGATCCTGACATTCTCTCCTTACTATGAAATTCCAAGGCAGTTGAACCTTGCACTGAATATTTTCTTGTTTACGAAAATGAGGATTTTTACATAGAAATTGCAGAAAAATTGTTTTGAGTTTTCAATTACTTCAGTTTGGAAGCAAAAGCAATAAAATTTGTATTAAAAGATTTCATGTACAGTAACATCCTTTCTTGGCAAAATGATGTATGCAATACATGTATAGAAATATACATTTGTAAATATTTATGGTGGTTATAATCTCTCCGAGTCCTAGAGAAGCAACAAATATGAACATTTTAAAAAATGCCCATCACCAAAGAGCAAAACTGTTCATATTAGCACTATTAACAATCAACTGGAACCAAATACTCATTGAAACACGTCTTTGAGCTGTTTCTGAAAAACGGGAGTTGCACATTCTTCTGGGCAGGAGGCTATTTTTCAGAGGGTGGGGGTTATCAGAGAAGAATCGTATCTCATGTACTTTGTTTTAGTAGACCCTCTGGACCAGACACCTGAACTGGCTCTGGCAAGGTGTTGTGAGATATAGCTAAGTTCTGCAGTGTAGGTCAGGGGTCGGCAATCAAAAAGCCACTTGGACCCGTTTCCCAGATAAAACACTGGGAGCCGCAAAACTTGTGTGCATGTGCATGCACACGTGAGGGGGGGAGCTTGATTGAAGAGTTTAATTAAAAAGAAAGGCTGCTGTGCATGAGTTCCCTCCCTCCCTCCCTCCTTCTCCCTCTCTTTGTCTCTCTCCCTTTCTCCGATCTGCTCACCTGGCAAGCTGGCTTCACGCTGTTCTCTGACAAGGTGACACACATTCTTATTGGGCTGGCTCTCTCCTGCCCTTGGTCTGCCAGTCCTCTTCCCCCACTCAGTGTGTGTATGTGTGTGTGTGTGAGAGAGAGAGAGCTCCTGCTTCTTGCTTCCTGCTGAGACGTCGCAAAAGCAGGAGCCCCGCCCAATAAGCTTGTCAGCTTGTCCGAGAACAGCATGAGGCCACTCTTTTTTACACATACACACACACACACACACACAGAGAGAGAGAGAGAGAGAGAGAGAAGCGCAAATGCCTCTCTCTGTCTCTCTCTCTGCAAATGGCAGAGGAGGCTGGGAGCCGCAGAAGAAGGCTCAAAGAGCCACATGCGGCTCTGGAGCCGTGGGTTGCCGACCCGTCGTGTAGGTCAGGGCTTTTCAACCAGTGGTACGGGTACCACCTGTGGTACATTGGCACCTGGCAGGTGGTACGCGAACATCCTAGAAAAGTAGCGTGGAAGGGGAATGAGCTGAACCGGTGGCAGCACCGCACAAGCCTGAGCGAGAGATGGCTGGAGCTGCAGGGCTGTCAGGGCTCAGCGGAAGTGCCAGGATCAGTGCCACTTTCCAGCTGATCGGTGCTTCTTTGGGGCTGTCAGGGCTCAGCGGAAGCGCCAGGATCAGTGCCAGGCTCCAGCTGGAGCTCAGCGCTGATCCTGGCACTTCTGCTGAGCCCAGAAGAAGCGCCGATCAGCTGGAATGCTGCAGCATCTCCAGGGTCTTGTGGTTTACATTCAGATGCTTGGCAACTGATTCATATTTATGACGGTCACAGTGTCCCAGGGTCATGTGAAGTGACCAAAACCTGCTGCAACCACCCAGCAGATGGGGGGAATAAAAACTAAACACCCCACCCCCACCCCCACTGCCAATCCTCAACAGAAATGCTCACAACAATGAAAACCTCGGACAGGAGGAAGAACGCTGCCAGGTGGGCAGACAGGTGTCTTGCTCGGCTGTGGGTTGGGGGGCACTTTTTTCAGTGCCATTGTAACTTCAAACAGTCACTAAGCGAACTGTTGTAAGTCGAGGACTACCTGTACTTTATCACTTTTTTCCTTTTGGGGGGGGTCATCAAGTTTTTGACACCTTGCTAGGCAACTGGTGGTACTCGGATATTGCCATATCCTAAAAGTGGTACAATGAGTGAAAAGGTTGAAAAGCCCTGGTGTAGGTCTTTAAATAAAACAACCAGTACTTTGAATTTCACTGGAAATCTTGGTGACCAATGCAATGAATTTAATATAGGTATAATTCTACACTGCCGGAATTGTCCCACTAAGACTCCATCTGCTGCATACTGTGCCAGCCAGAGCTGCTGTGTCTTCTTCAAAGGAAATTCCATGCAGAATTGAAATTATAGTCATCCAGTTGGGTGGTGATCAGAGCATGGATTACTGATATAGGGCATATGTACCTTGAGACTTTCTTCTTTGGTGGTGGTTTATAATTGCTACTGTCAGCAATTGTAACAAATTTTCTATAGTTATGATAATAAGCACTGCATATTTGTCAGAGACAAAATGGCCCCATGTCAATCAAGCGTTAGGAGCCTCCTGATGCATTTGCATGAGTTTGAATGACTAGAAGAAAGCCATCGTGCATACAGCTCTCGGATTGGCTTCTACATAAAAAGGATCTGCACCGACATCGTCTCGTGTCTTGTGGAAGCCAATATTTAAAGGCTTGTCTTCCGTAAACAGTTGCTCTCTGACATTCTGCAAGAAACCCCCTCAGTTGGATGGTGTGGACTGGAGATGGGATTTAGGTTGCCTTCATGTGGAGTTGCTCCAGATTTGAGAATACCTACTTAGAGCTAGCAGATAATATAGTAGATATTTGGGTACTCTTGATTTGTAGAGATAGTGGTTAAATTTTGAAGTGTATCAATTCATTGTGATTTTGTGTGTGCGCGCATTCACCAGTAGTAGAGAGCACAAATGATTAGCATCAGCTTTTCATTTTTACGTAGGAATAGGGCCCTATAAGAGGTGGAGGCTGTAGGCCTGCCTTAGAAACCTTTTTGTTCCGCTCCAATTAACTTACATGTGAAGAGGAATACAATACTTTTTTCTACAGTTAATTGTTTTCCAGCCTAACTTGCTGTTGTATTTGGTCTTGAATCAGTGTTTGTGTATATCTGCCTTAATGAAAGAACACAAGACAAAAGCAGAGAATGACTTTTGGATTCCTGAGCAATGGTTCCTGAACAAACTCTTCATAGCCTTGCATTCCAATCCATAGATTCTTCTCTCTGAATAAAAAATGGCGTCAAGGCTGTGGAATGAAAGGTAAAATAAATTTGACAAATGCTAGCAAAAATCAAATCCTTACATGTGGCTGAATGGCATCTTGGCTATAGTTTAAACCAACCAAAGCTGGTTGAGAAATCCTGAGAATTGAGATCCACAACTCTTCAAATTGCCAATGTTGAAAAATACTGGTTTAAACTGTTCTAAGATGCTTTGGTGTTTGTAGGGACATATATAACTATAATAAGTAGGAGCAAGATTGTATAGCTGTGACATCAAGGGTGAGGTATGCCAGACTAAAATGTGGTTGGCTAGATTGTTCAGGATACTGTATTGCACAAACCTAGCCAGTATAGTTAGTTGCAATGAGTCATGCGAATCTTGGCAATGAGTTAATTCAAAACAGGTAGTCCTCGACTTACCAACATTCATTTAGTGACCATTCAAAGTTATAACATTGAAAAATGTGACTTATGACCATTTTGCACATTTACAATCATTGTGACATCCTCAAGGTCATGTGATCAAAAGGCAGATGCTTGGCAAATGACTCATTTATGATGGCTGCAGTGTCCTGGGGTCATGTAATCACCCTTTGCGACTTTGTGACAAGCAACGTCAATGGGGAAGCCAGATTTACTTAACAACCATGTTACTAACTTAACACCCACACTGATTCACCTAACACCTATGACAAGAGGTGTAAAATGGGACAAAACTCACTTTAACAAATGTCTCACTTAGCAACAGAAATTTTGGGCTCACTTGTGGTCGTATGTCGAGGAGTACCTATACAGAATCCTGAGAGTATGAACTTTAAAACTGAAAAGATAGGTAATAGAAGATTTATTCAGCCTATTGCCTTCCAGATGGCTTGGAGAGCATCCAGTTGGAGATACTTATTTTTAGAGGTGAGATCATGATGTGCTAAAAAAAGACCAACAGGGAGAATGGACAGGATGATTAACATGTAGCAAATGTCTGTAGCTCTTGAGGTAGGTATAGCTTTATACATTCAGGTAGTCCTCAAGTTATGACCAGTTGCTGAGTGACTGTTGGAAGTTCTGATGGACTTACTTGGTGCAGTACTTACAATCCAGACTCAAAGTTCTGATAGTCACCCCTTTCCCAGCAGTCACACGATCAGACTTTTGGCACTTGGCACCTGGGCCCAGTCAGCTGATCGATACAAGTTTTTCTGAAAATCAACCTTGCCCATAGCACTGTGTTTGTTTAACAACCACTGCAAAAAAGGTCATAAAGTGAGGTCAGTCACATGACTGACCTGCTTTACAACTTTCATGAGTTATAACTGTTGGGCAGGCTACATTATGATCGTACCTTGAGGGCTACCTATATCTATTTAATCACATAGGCATCTATAAAATTCCAGCCCTATTAATCACCTAGGACTTGTTCCCATGCAAGGAGTAGAGAGCTGCCGACAAAATTGTCATTTTTACCTATGAATTGTTCCCCAAAGCCTTATTTAGCAGTTCGTTTTCAGAATAACATAATGAAAAAAAGAGAGAACTTGTTTTTTTGCGCTTGAATATTTATGCTTTCTTACTTTTCAAAAATAATCTTGAGTTGATCAGGGATTGGCTTCTTGACAACTGAGTAAGAAAATGCAGAATTATCTTTATACAGGTAGTCCTTGATTTACAACCACAATTGAGCCCAAAATTTCTGTTGCTAAGCAAAGCAGTTGTTAAGTGAGTTTTACCCCATTTTGTGATCTTCTTTGCCACAGTTGTTAAGAGAATCACTGCAGTTGTTCAGCCATTAAGTGAATCTGGCTTTCTTCATTGACTTGGCTTGTTGGAAGCCAGCTGGTTAGGTTAGAAGTGGTGATCATTGGCCCGGAACCCGAAACTCTCATAAACACAGGCCCATTGCCAAGCGCGGGAATTTTGATCACATGACCATGGAGATGCTACAAGGGTCATAAGGGTGAAAAATGGGTCATAAAACACTTTTTTCAGTGCCATTGTAACTTTGTTAAGCGGAACAGCTTTAAGTAAATTTTGCCCCGTTTTACAACCTTTCTTGCCACAGTTATTAAGCAAATCATCACTGCAGTTGTTAAGTTAGTAACACGGTTGTTAAGTGAA